GAAACTCAGGAGATAGTTCCCCGTAGACCCTTAACCCGGCCACTGGAGTCACAATAGAGTGCATACTGGAAGGGAATTTAACTGGCGCGCATTCATGGATAGGGAGCACCACAAGCTGGCGGAGTCAACAGAATCGAGGATTGTTTTTAAGTCAAGGAAAACCAACATAGTCGGTCGTCCGCATGTGCATCTCTGCACTAAAACCTGGTGAAGTGCAAACATGTCGATACAATCATGATCAGAGCAGAAGCTAGCATGCCTTTCAACGGTTTGGATCTCGCAAGGATCATTAAGTCGTCGGAGAATAATAACCATAAGGAGTTTGGACGCAATGGAAACATGGCTAATGTCTCGATTATTCTCGCACAAAGTATGTTGACCCTTTTTGAAGATGGGTTCAACAGTTAAAAATCACCTGTATGAAGGCACATCTTCACTGTTCCAAATCGTGTTAAATAGAGAAGCAAGTCCAGTAAACAAAGGGTCACCACAATCTATTAACAAAGAAGGAGGAAGGTCGTCGCGTTCAGCTGTGTCGTTTCAACAAGGCGAGTTTATGTCGAATCTCTTTCAAAGTGGGAGGCAAGACATCCACTTCTTGCGTCGGCCCAGGCGATTCCGCAAGCGGCACTGTCGCCGCAGTGCTGCTAAAATGCTCTTCTAAATGTTCCGCCCAACGAACTAGTCGACGACGTTGAGAATGGATCAGCTGTCCATTATGATTAACTGTTTTATTGCTAACTGATGGCTTTCTCGGACCCATGTATCGGATGAACTGAAATAGTACTCGGATGTTCCCAATAGTATTAGCTTTCACCACTGAACGGGCCCTTGCAATATAACAAGGTTCCCGGTGAATTCAAATACTGTTTGTCAGACGTCATTTCAGGGAGTTGCGGAGACGCTGAAAAGCAGTGCCCATTGGAACTTGTTTTCGTGCTTCGATCAACCTGATCGATGCATCAGAGGTCCATTCGGAGTTATAAACCCAGGAACTTGAACTAAAAGGTTAGTCGTAGTTCCGATGCGATAGACTAACGAATGCCCGCGGTGGTGTCTTGCACTACATCTGGCCTTCCCTGCGTGGGAGACTTGTGAACACCTACCGAAGTGACGATGGTTTGTGTGAGCTACTGTGGTGTTCCATCAGCCTCAGACGTGGAGGACGACACGTGTGCGCAGTTTATCGCAGCCTTCTGAGTCGTTGTTTGGATTGGCTGCCCCATCTTCGAACCAACATGAGTCGCCCACACTTTCTACATACGGGCGATTTTAACTGTCCTCGAATACGGTGGCCTAATGTGCATTCGATGCCTGGACATTGTGAGATTGAAATAAAGTTCGTGGATTTGGTGCTTGAAACTGGTGCATAGCAACACAGATGCCGGCCAACACCACGTTCAGCACCGTCCTGTCTCGACCTGATGTTAACGAGCTACGAACCAGTGCGTGACGTTCGGATCCTAGAACCCCTGGCTACAAGTGACCACTCAGTGCTCATAGCTTATATGGAATTCTATTTGCCGTATTCACGTCCCCTGGAATCAGTTTACAACTACTGAAAAACGGAATTCGACGATCAAGCTCGAGGTTCTAGCCAACTGGATTGGCCTCTGTTAAAAGCTGCATCCGTGGAAGACTGTTGGACATTTATAAGAGAGACTGACATCACTGTGTCCCAATTTGTGCCATTGAAATGTCGGAAGCTTGGACCAGTTAAGCCGCATTGGTTTGACAAGGAGTATGGAAATCTGGCTCGGAGGCAGCGCAGACTGTGGGATAGGTTCCTCCTCTCTGGCTCTGCCAATGACAATGAAGGGTATAAAAGTCAGCGGAACCTCCGCAACAGTGCAAAAAGGAATAAGCGCCGACATTTCGAAGGGCAGCTCGCAATCGCTGCGAAGACCGCCCCAAAGAGAATCATTGCTTATGTGAAGCGACGCCTGAAGCCCGCAGGTGATGTGCCAGTGCTGGATGGCTCCTAACCTCCAACACTGAGCGTGCGTCCGCGTTGGCGGCGCACTTCGCTTCTGTCGTTGCAAATGACCAGGTGTCTGTCCCGAGTTCAACGTGTACCGCTTTTACCGAACACGATAGTCTGGATTGCGGAGTTGAAGAGATATGTCAACTACTCGCCAGCCTTGATAGCACCAAACCTGCCGGACCTGATGGGCTTCACCCACTGATTCTCAAGTCACTTTCGACCATCATCTCTCCTGTCGTGCCTGACCTTTTCAACATGTCGCTGTCCGAAGGTTCGTTGCCGATGGACTGGAAATGTTCGATGGTGAAGCGTATTCCTAAAGGCAGCGACCCTAGCAAAGTAGACAACTACAGGTCAATTTATCTGACATCTATTTTGGAAAAGGTTGCTGAGAAAACCGTAAAAAGGGATTATTGTAGTTGATACAGTCAAAAGAGGTCCTGACGCCCACACAGCACAGTTTGAGGCAAGGCCGCTCATGCATTACAAACTTGTTTGTGGCGAGGCATGAGTAATTGAAAGCAATAAGCAAGGAGAAGTCAGTCGATGTGATATTCATCGATTTCAGTAAAGCGTTCGACGAGGTTAGCCATGAGATCCTCCTTCACAAACTCAGGATGTGTGGTGTCGGTGACTCATTGCACCGGTGGATTCGCGGCTTTTTTGTTGGACGAAGGTGGAGGGTACAGGTCGACGACCATCTAACTGACTGATAACCCTCTATCAGTGGCGTGCCTCAAGGCAATGTGCTGGAGTAAACTCTGCTCTTGATCAACATCAACGATATACCTTAGCTTATACGGTCGCCGTGTGTCTTGTTTGCGGACGACATGAAAATTTGGAGAGAAATTGACACTCCCGACGACTGTGGCGTACTTCAGCAAGACCTCAACCGCCTATCCACATGGTCTGCAGAAGTTCTTCTCCCGGTCAACCCAGCCATGTCTGTATTTATGAACCTGGGGAAGGGTGCTGATGGCCGAACATACACCTTTAACGGCCAAGCGCTATAGCCCACACCCTCCATGAAGGACTTTGATGTAAGCTTGCGCTACGATTTGAAGTCCGTGGACAACACGAACAGGCTATATCGTAAAGGACTGCGCATGCTTTGGGCGCTCAAACGTAGCTTTGGCACTTGATCTGAAGAAGTTGCCACTCGCCTCTTCCATCAGTAGAACAATGTCAGAGTACGGATCGCCCGCCTACTTTCCGAATACCCGAGGCGAGGCACAAAAGATCAAAGGGGTCCAACACACTGGTACCAGACTCATTCCGAGTTTACGTGGTTTGGGGTATGAAGACCGGTGCAAGAAACTAGGACTCTACACCTTGTCCTACCGTCGGGTGCGAGTCAACCTAAGTATGACCTACCGTATTCCACATCTCGGTGACTTCCCCATGCCGAGGCTAATGAAACACTTATGATGGTTATGCAGCACACACGGACACAGATACAAACTTGTCGTGCCGAATGTGAAGCGAGTTCCCCAACCACTGTGCTTCGAACAGAGAGTGGTAAATATTTGGAACAGTATGCCTGAACATGTGATGGAAGCAACATCCATACGTTGTTAACGTATAGTTTAACACTGTCCGATCCAGAGAACGATTACACACTTACGATGACATCTCACATTTGTGAGTCTTGCAAGCCTGTGGGTCAGATATTTTACGTTACATGAGAAGGATAACAATATTCACAGCTGACAAATTTTATATCGTTTTTCACTATATTTCGAGTTGTACAGAATTCATTTTAATTGTTCTATAATACAGTATTCTGTATTCACAGTTATGACATCTCAAGCTGGGTGCACAGCATGCGCCAAAGGCATTCTTCATGGCACAACTGAGACGATTCCATTCAGCGTTCGGCTCACCAACCTCAATCCTCACAGAAAATTGGTGGATCAGTGCGTCATGATATAGCTGAACGGCAGACTGCGAGTTCAGGTTACAAATGAGAAGTCTGGTAGTTAGGCACTTTACTGAAGCGGGAAAATTGAGCGTCAAGCGTGTGCGCACAAGAGCATGATCGGAATCCAGACACATGCTCTAAATTGACCGGCAGTTTTGGACTAATGTGCACTACCCGTAGTTGATGGCAAGGTCGTCGAGTTGGGTCCAGGTCGTTGAGAAATTCGGTGGACGCCAAATGACGCTGCAAGTTAGTGCTGCTAACGTAAAGATTGTGTTCGGCACACAGTTGCAGGATTCGGTCACTATTGTCTATTCGGCGTGCACCGATATGGAAACGGTCGTCTAGGTGTTGCTCAATCAGAAAGACGACGCACGGGCATTCATGTCAACAGCAACAAGCATCATGTCAGTAGATTACGCCATGCAAAAAAGAGATGACAACTGTCGATAGAAATCGTGCACGATAACCTGTGATCTACATTAAGTAGGGGCATTAACTGAAGCAATGAGAAGGCATCTCGTCTTTATACGGTGGTTATTGAGTCCAACAGAGGTTCGAAATCGAACCGCACACATGCGGTTGTTCACCAGTATCCAATCCAGCGGACTACCTTTAGCATGTTTGTGGGGGGCAATACCAACATGGCAAATACCTTTAACCATTGGCTCAGTAATGTCAGATTCAGAACCAGGGAGTCAAAGATTCGTCACAACGCTGTTATGTTGTATGCATGTTTCGGATCCACGGTACACATCAATCTCAAGAGAGCGAAGAGTGAGAGTTATTGCTACCTGCTGGCCGATCTGACTTGGAGTGAGAACGTGAAAATAACCAATGTGAAATGAAATTCTAGGTTTGATGGAACAGCTATATGTATGCAGGTCAACAGCTGCAAGGTCAGTAACAGTCTCTCGTTGAATAGACTGGGAAGAAGAGAGAAAGAGAAAAAAGGGAGTATTGTCGACGTGGTCGAGAGGGCTGAATCACCTGAACCGAAGTGGAAAGTTGATGTCATACCTCACACTTTGAAAGAGACTGAACATGAGCTCGCCGTGTTGAAGCCAAACAAAGCATTTAGACCCAACGACCTACCTCCATTTTTGCTGAAAGACGGAAACGACTCTCTGTTGACTGAACTGGCTTCGCGGTGTAACACGACGTGGAACAGTGAAGAAGTGCCTTCAGACAGGTGACTGTCAACTGTCGTGCCCATCTTCAAGAAGGGTTAGCGTCCTTTGTACGAGAATCACCGGGAGATTAGCCGCGTTTCCAATGCAACCAAACACCTTGAATCAAAAACAGAGCGCCAAAAAGGTTTGCCAATACTACATGGTAGCGAACACTCGGACCTAAGTTGTTGATCCATACGGAGAGAACACTCGCACAAGGCGATACAGTGTTGTGGACTCGAAAAAGAAGGGGGATTATCAAGGATGGGGATTTAAACAAAAGTGGAATAAATTAACTGAATGGTGGTGAAGCAGAGCGCGATGTAGCATTTTCGGCCGTCAGCATCTCGACCAAGGGTAGAATTTCCAGAGAACAGAGAGAGAGAGTGAGTGAGCGCAGTCGTTGAAACATTGATCCATAATTTGTGTGTGTATGGTGCACGCCGGTTGCCAACGCCGATGAAGAGGGTTGATTTATGGACCCCATTCGGAACCTTGCGTCATAAAGACCAGATTTGCAAGACAGCAGGACGATTGAAGTATATAGTAAACCGTTGGGAGCCGGCTACCACGATGATGATAACACGGCTTTCGAATAGGAGCAAGCTAATCAAAAGGCACATGGGCCGATGTCAACCAGGTGCCTCAGAAGCATTCAAAGAAGCCGGAAGCCATCGGGATTGTTCATCCGACCCTACTAAATACTCACTTCTGGTCGCAGGAGTGGTCACTGACTGTATAGCCGTTCACATTGGCTATGGCATGGCGTCTAACGAGCTCCTGTAATAGTTAACGAGGAAGGAGGTGACCAGCTCAGAAAGCCAGCCCGACGCTCCAGGACGCTGTAGCCGGCTGTCCGCGACTGCATATTCGTCTCACCTGCAAACAGCCGACACTTATTAAGTTACCTTCGCAAGGAAGTCGTTGCCCGATTTGCAACAAACGGACGCGCCCGGTGGAATACATCTCCGCCGCACCAACCAGTGGTCAGTTGTCGCACAATATTTCCCGCGGGTTCCAGAGACGTAGTTGGTCCCAACGTTCAACAGTATCGCAATGAGGCTGGACCTTACCATGGTGCGATGGTTTGCGTGCCTCAGAGATCCATTGAGCTATACTGGGTGGTGCATTTTTGCATCGTCAGAGTCACTCATACCAGATTGGTCAATGGTTAGAGCCCACACAAACTCAGCCTCCTGGTCCTCCAGGTTGGGGGTTGGAATGAGGGTGGCTCCTTATTCCTTAAAACGGACTCCTTGTAGCCAAGTGCCAAACCCGCTACCTTGCGGACAGGTTTTTGAACCAAAGGCTTTGGCTGAGAACCCTAATCGTTCTCCTGTCTAGATCTGGGCAATCTGACCGTATCCTGCCCACGTAATACAACGAGTCTCACATCAAACAAATTTCTGATGCTCTGGCCACCGCAGAGGATAATCAACGGTGCCCTATCTGTTGCATCGGGCAGGGTGGATAAGGGTTTGGATGCTATTGCTCAAGCCTTCCCGTATTCTTATCCCCTCCTACGCTTTTTCACACTTATCGTCCCGTTCCACCTTCACTTTTATCCCCCCTGTTTTCAACCGCCCAGTTCTCGGCCCTCCCCCACCTTGCTTCAATAGTCGCTTCTCTTTTAGTTTCAACTCACATGTGAACGCGGAGCGTCATTCCTGCCCTGTCAACAGGCCCATGTCCAAGCAAGCGATCAAGCACAGTTCATCAGCTTCCAGGTGGAGCCATAGAGGAATCAGTCCGATCTCCATCGCCTCCAAATTACTTGCCTCTGTCATCCTTCACAGACTGACTGGCACTCGTGAAAGCCAGATTCGTGAAGAGCAAGCCGGGTTTCCTAGATGTCGTGGCTGCATTGACCACATCTTCACCTTGCGTCAGTTGTTGGAGCACCGTCACATATATTGGCGGCCCACCGTTGTCGTGTTCCTCGATATCAAAGGTGTATTCGATTCTGTGGATAGACTTGCACTTTGAGACTGTCTACTCAGGAAAGGTGTGCCTGAGAAATATGTTAATATTATCCGAGCATTATATGCGCGTAGCTCGAGTAGAGTGAGGGCTTACGGCATGTTGTTGTCGCTGTTTAATATCTCCAACGATGTGAAACAAGGATGCCCGCTGTCACCTTTCCTCTTCAACTTCGCTGTTGACGAAGTCATGGAAATCGCGTTGACAGGACACGACTTTGAAGGTGTGGAGTTGTTATCAGGAGAACGACTTCTTGACTTAGAGTATGCTGATGATATTGCCCTAATCTGTGACAGCTTACAAACGTGTCAAGCGGTACTGGACAGATTAGCACTAGCTGTCCGCCACTTCGGGCTTTGCTTCGCACCCTCGAAGTGCAAAGCGTTCCTCCAAGATTGGTCTGGACCGCCTCCTTTGCTGACCCTTGGTGGGGATCAGCTAGAAGTCGTTCAAAAATTCAACTACCTGGGAAGTTGTATCAGCGCCCGTGGGATTGAAGATGAGATCAAGAACCGTATAGCAAAAGCTCTAAGTGCTTTTGCTAACCTTCGCCACTTATGGCGCCAGTGCGACACCACTCTTGCCCTAAAGGGTAGAATGTACAATGCAGCGGTACGTTCGAACCTACTGTACGGTTGTGAAACCTGGCCCCTTAAAGCAACGGACCTGAAGAGGCTAGTTACGTTCGACCACCGATGCCTTCGCAATTTAGCTCACATCTGGTGGGAACACCGCGTGAGCAACGAGCGTGTTCGACGCCTTGTTTACGGCACAGGAAAAGGAACTGAACCGCTCAGCACTGTTATTTCACGCACCAGGCTCCGATGGCTCGGCCACGTGTTATGCATCCCAGCCCACCAACTCCCGCGACGTGCGTTGTTTGCGCGCCGGGGGTGTGGATGGAAGAAGAGGAGGGATGGCCAAGCGATGACTTGGTCGAGAGGAATGAAGGCCCTCACTTCTGAGCTGGCCTTGGTTGGAGCGTCTCGGCTCCCTGGTTGGGGTCCGACAGACGATGAACACGTTTGGTTGGACACACTTGCTGACATGGCAAGGAGCCGACCTCAGTGGCGTTCGTGCTGTGAGTTTCTTTGTCCCACCCCATCCCTCTTAGCCTCCCCCTCCAACCACGATCTCATTATTTAGCCTTATATAATTTTGTATAGCAATTTTTTTGATGCACAGTAGCCGGCTGGTATCTTACCGGAACGATGCCCATCCGTTACCGGTAGCTCAGTCGGCTTGCACCAGTTGCATTTTTTCTCTCCTTTTTTCTATGTATTGCGGCACAGTAGCTGAGGTGTTCCCCACCTCTAGCTAACGTGTATGATGATGATGAATGCTCAACATGTAAAGCTGTTGGTAACGGTCGCGGAAAGAGGGGACACTAACAGAAGGTCTGCCGCTTTTCTACCAAAAACATCGCCTCAGCAGTCCTGAGTTACATCTCCGCTGTTACAGTCGCAGTTTCCCAAGACGATCTCCTTCGTGCTGTCATTGTATTGCTCATAAACATCCATCTGAAAGCGTAAGTTAATACTAGGAGCTCTGAGGAATATATTGTCGTTAGAATTGTTAACCAGTCTAGCTGGACAATCCTGGAATCACAATACAAAATTTCGATGGTCAGTACCCACCTAACTAGTCTTAAGAGCGATCACTGTGTTGTTACTATGCAGTCTGAAAACCGCTGGTGCACCAACAAAACTTCCGGTACTTTCGCATCTTGGTTCAGAGATACTGCATGAACACTATCTTTCCAAGCCTCACGAATTCGCCAAAATTCTATTTTCTTTGGAGAACAATCTTCCTTTTCCTTTTGCGCGCTGTTTCTTGGAGGTGCGACTCCCCCTAGTTCGGAAACGATTATCCCACCTACAAATCCATCGCTACTGATTCGAGACATCATTCTAATGCGGGCGAAATATTCATAGAGCTGGAAATACAGAAGCTTCTTGAGGACATGATTGCTGAACCGTCCGTATTGCCGTGGCGAGCTCAGATTTTGATAACTACGTAATAAAGGATCAGCAGTATGCCGGTACGCAGTACCGACACTACGCTGTCGCGCAACCACCACCAGTTTCATGTAGGCTAATGATACTGCGAACGTCGCCCTGTCCCTATACAAGCAAGCTTCATACCCTTAGGCTACGAACGAAAGTCAAGATTATTAACCAGTTTACTCACGTAGATGCATACTCATTGCTTAGAATTGATGCGCTTATCGACAGAACCACCAGGTACTCGATGTATATCACCTTAGGCCTCAAGATACCTCTTAAGAAAACTGAAGAAAATTCACGGCATTTGAGGCGTGGAGAAAATTTTCCAATTCTATCGGATACCTTTCTGCGTAATTACCAGGATCGCCAGTTGTAAAAGAATTACAGAAACCTGAAAGCGACATACCTTTACATGGATACGGACTGTGTGGGACAACTGAGGATGATCATGACAGTAATGTCGCAAATATTTACAATTCCGCTTAAAAGTATAACCTAATCCTTAACGAAAACAAAAGCAGCATGCGTTTGTGTCAGATCTTCCGGTTTTCTCGCTATTCCGAATTAAACACCCAAAATTTCTCCGCAAATGTCCTAGTCAAGCCAAAGAAAAATCGAAAGTCCAACGACGTTGACTGCGAAAAACGCATTAACAAAAACGCTGCCAAACGTAGCCAAAATCACTGTACCAACTACGCCAGATCTGCGCCAAATATATAGGGGGCTCGATGACCTACGGCTTCCAGAAAACGATGGTCAACTGGTAAAATTAGCAGCCTCCCTGCAAAAACTCCGTATGCTGGCGATCACGTGAAGGAACGGAAGGTTCCGGAATCTTTGAAATCAATGCACGATCGAAGATAATCGATGGACTGTTAAAATAATGGATTTTCCTTTATGTTTTTACCTTTTCCCGGATACCTCCTCTGCTGAAATGACTGCCGCGGTGTATGATGCTAGCCTGGGATTGACCTGAAGCCTCCTGGAAGGGGTTCTAGGCCTATCGGTTCATCGCCTTGGCTGTAGTGTTCTGGATACAAGTTCCATGCTCTGCGGTCTGGTATCACTCGTCTGATGACAGGGTTCTTCGACGAGTTGTTTAGGCAAGTTGAAGCTGTCCGTCAACAGGTA